AAAAAAAAAAAAAAGGCAATCAGCACTTAGACAGAGAAGCAGGTAGCATCTGAATAGACAAATTAGACTTGAAAGTTGTTTTGACGGCAGACAGCAGCTAACCGTGGTTTCTGAGGCTAACGTTAGTTGATATTGCTTTTTCTGTAATTTAGTTCAGTCCTCAGACTAGAAGGAATGAGGTCTGCAGATAAGAAATGGCCAGGCAAAAAGAACTAATTATAGGAATCCAAACATTAGGTAACTAGATTTTTTCCCCCCGCTTCTTCTTGAATTGCTTATTTGTTGCTGCAGAGAGTTTTCTGGCCATCTATCCAGGAGGGGATCTTTTTTTCCCCCCCTGGACAAAAAATATTTTTTAATTGCCTTATATGACAGCTAATAAACATTCACTGCCACCAGAAGAGGGGAGAAGGTATGAACAAGGCGGTCTGTACTTTTTCAAAGATGCACGTATATTGTCTACAGCAGTGTCCAATTATTAAATCAATCGCTTGGCCTGCCAGCTAGTAGGTGGGGCATAATGAGCTGCCCTATCGGCAATCCTTGTCCCCGCCATGGACCAGGAACGTATGCCAGCCTTCAGCTCGGTACCCCCCGGAAAGCACCTAGGTCACATGCAGCCCACTAGCATCCCTTTCCAGGGGAAGGTCATTAACAGGGTATGGGAAGGCAGCTCCAGGAAGGACTTGAGCTCTCAAGTTTTTAACCCCAGTCATTCGAGGTGTGGGTCAGGGCTGGAGGTGGGACAGTGCTGGCTGTGCCTCCTTCTAACCAGGCGGTGACCTTTCCGGTGCCACACACTCTGGTTTCCCAGGTCCCTGGGAAGCAGGCATGCTTCGTGCATGGACGTAACACAGCACAAACCAATCTCCCTTGTCTTCACAGAAAGCCCGGCTGGCGAGGATCCGCGTGGCCAAGACGGGCAGCTCCAACGCGTACCTTCACAGCAAACGCAACGGCCTCCTGAACGAAGCCCTGGAGCTGACGGTACGTGCCAGGACAATGCGTTTCAAAAAGGTCTCTCCTTCCAATCCAACCCTGGTTTTGTCCTCACCCTCCCACCGCTGCGTAATTGCTTGTTATTCAACGTGGCAGCTTCACATGAGCTGCGCTGCGCTGTAATTATGCTATAATTTACTGTATACGCTACATGTAGAGACAGCTGGGAGTCAGCTGCACAATAGAAGAAGAGTTTGCTTCTTGGGTTTTTTCTCGAGCTAGGGAAGAGTCCAACCTGCTAACGCCGACAGGATGGCAGGGGCCAACCTGGTACGAGCCAGCAGAGCTGCCCACCCCTCAGGCTCACGTCACCGGCGCAGGGAGGCAGTAGGAGCCCCATTCCCCTTCATGGGCACAGGGCCCATCACAGCCTTTCTTTGCCAGGGGTCTCTTGGTTTTGGCTGCCAGTGGAAAAGCACACGCTGTACTGACATGCCATGCAGCCTTCAGAAATAGAATAAAAAGCCCTTAATAAAAGATCTTGCAATGATGCACGCCAAATACAGCAGGAAGCAGCTTCCAAACTCCCCCGAAGATGCAGGCATTTTTTCACTCCTCCGTGGCCAGCTCTTGGATTTCACCGCGTGTGCAATGTTGCCGATTTCTCCCAAAGCCCCAGTTCCTGGAGCCATGTGAATACATTTGAGTCTCATCTCTCACTGACACATCAAATGAAGGAGTGTCTCAGCCCTCCTAGTTGCGGAGGGAAACATGGATGTGCACGCCTGTCTTGCAGTTCAGAGAAGCTGACATGGGCAGTGCCATTTCCCGGTAGCTGTATCGCCAGAGGAGGAGCTTGTGCAACGGTTCAAGCCAGACATGTCACCCCAATGAGATCAAGGGGTTACTTCAGGGTTATTAGCCCTAAAATTATTGCAGGCTTTTCTTAACCATCTGCAGGAGAGAAGCAGCTTCAGACTGGGTCCAGCAGGAGAAGAGAATCCATCCCAGCTCCTGCTCCGAGGCACTTGGTGGTGGTTTTATTTTTAATAGAAAGGCATCTGGAGGCTAATATTAGCTATTCATGAGAAGGGAAAGTTTTAAGTGTGTCAGATTGCTCAGCAGAAGCAGTGGAAATGAGAGAAGGTTATTACATTAAGCCTGATCAAGACCAGAGCAGGTATTAACACATCTCATGGATTTCATTTCAAATAAATCAGTCCCCGGTGCGTGCGGGGAGCCAGGGCTAAGACACAGACTGCCTAATTGAGCTGCGACAGCCTCCTCACGGTCCGTTCCTCCATCTTTACTTGGGTCTAATGCTGCAAACAACTGCTGCTGTGCCTACCGGTCTTTCAGGAGGAAGTCCAGGGCTGCCAGCACGTGCCGGCAGGCGTGCAGCCTTCGTTGTTGCCATTTTGCTCCTGCCCAGTGCACACTTGCATCCGCAAAGGGGATATAACTGCC